CTTGTCTCGGCGTCACTACTCCGATTGCCTAGAGCTGAAGGAATGAGTGCCATCCTCTTGGGACCGGCTAGCATTGGACGTGGAGTGTGGGCTTAATTCGCTCACCATCATGATTGGACAAGAACATGAATCAGGGTGTGCTGCTGAGGTACCTCGAATCCACCTCGGGAAGGGCCGCGACGCTAATTGCAACTCTTCTATCTCCTCGCCAGCATCCCTGTTGCTGTAGCTCTTTGAGAAAATCCCCAAAGTTGATGAGAGCAAGGTGGTGTCTCTAGTTTGGCTAGCACAATCTACAACGGAGGTCGTGAGCCTAGCTGAATGAACGAAGAGACTTTATGCATGTACTAAAAGATTGAGTAGTTGCTCGCTTCTCACAATAACAGTTGACCGAAGTGGAATGACAGATAAGGAGGTCACAACTCGTATACCTCATTGAAGGTATGCTTGGCATTTGCGCTATGAGAACGCCGATACATCGGCATTGGCATCACCGTGGCATTAAGGTAGTATGTTGAAATAGTCTTGAGTGCATATCGACGCGTCTCCATTCCTGAGGCCGGACACATCGGTGGTGAACTTAAGCAACTCGATGGCCATGCGGAGGCGGTCTAGGTGCTCCGGAGCCCAAAATTCGTAGATGTTGCGGACCAAGTGCCATGATTGCCACTTTTCGGAGGCTTTCGGTGAGATCACAAAGTGGCATATCTGTGTTCGGTAGATCTTCAGGCGTTGGCCGGCAAAGACAGGGTAGTATCCGTTCACAACCACATACCTATTGTCATAGGAGATTGAGAATCCCAAAACCCTCCGATGTACCCTTTTCTCCATCTTTGCAGCCTTAAAAAGCTCAAATGTGGATGAGACTGCCACCATCATGCTGTATGCATTTTGGTTCTCCGCCAAGAATATCGGCTCGTTGGAAGACTTGGCCTCGCAGGTAAGGAATGGAAAATACATGTCGTCCATTGATACGAAACTTGATGGAATACCAGGTACTACGGCCAGTAGATCCAATTCATCGGGCGAGAAAGCCTTGGCACAGAAGCCAACGCAATAGTCCGGCCTAGGGTTTGGAAATCCGTCTCGAAGCTGAGGTGCCTTTGCCCATACCTCGTTCCGATTATCAGCAAAGAGTTTATAGGTTTTATGGAGCTTAGTGTCTCCATGGTGGATAGCAAAGAGGCGTTTTGCTGGAGGGCAGACGAGATCACCAAGCTCTGCTATGACGTAATCCTTGTTCTTGAACTGCAGCTGCTCCATGGTCAATCTCAGCACCTCGGACTCGTAACGCGCATCGGCTGGAGGGTCATGATTTTCCTCCTTGATGGTTTCCCGTAATTTCCTGGTCGTGTCCTCTACACTTTCTTCATCTATGTCCTCAGAATACCGATTCATAAACAACTGCACCATTAGAGACCTGTCCTCCAATCTGGAACGGAAGTCTTCCATTTTGTAGATGCTATTCGTTGAACCGGCCTCTTGCTCTGTAGATGAAGCTGTCGAACTCCGCACAGAGCTTGCTGCATTCTTCCACTCGAGCTTCCGGGACGCGATGGACACAGTTGGCTGATGTGCAGGCGTGCTTCGCATGGACTCTGTCGTTGTGGTGTCCCAAATGGCGGTTCGCCCAGGCTGAGCGTCGTTCATGGTCCGGCTTTCTACTGGGTCGTTGTACGCCAACTGTGCAGTTGCTGATAGAAATGCTGCTCTGGCCACGTCTTGGTGTCCTGTCTGAGGCCCTTTCTCTTCTGCCACGCCTTGGTATTCTGCCTGAGTTGCATTGTCGACGTAGGCCTCCGTGCGCGGGGGCTTGTCGTCTGGGCTTTCGGCAGAAGTGGTATCTACTGCGGATTTCTGGCCTAGAGACGAGTATTGAGGTCCTTTAGGCTCCCCTGTCCTTGTTCTTAGCCCCCTGTTGGGGTTGGGCCTGGATTTGGAACTTGGCGCCGGTGCCGAGTCTTTGCCACTATGGGGTTGCTTTATCTTGCCTGTGAGTGAGCTGAACGGTCTGCTGATGAACCACAGAAGCGGCGTACTGACATTGGGGGGAAATGGGGATAATCCCCTGATGCGGCGGCTGCGGCGATCGTTGCAACGGGCTGGTCGCGATGGACGCTCAACCGGCGCTTGGAGACGGTTAGCACACGTCTTTGGCCATCTCCGGTGGGCATACGTACTGGTAAGTTTGTTTCCTTTTAGTTGTTCCGTTTTGATCTTCTTGCAAGGCTGCGAAGCGGCAGTTGAGCGCTTTCGCCGACCCATGGTGGGCGAGCGAATGGCGAGTGAGAAGAGCAGGTAGAAGAGAGACCCTTTGCTGGAACACCACGGACGAAGCTGCAACACTAAAGTATGTACCTGAGCTTCCAGTGCTCTAGGCTTTGCTAACCCTTGTCGCCGCGGGAGCCTCGATAAGTGCTTCCATTCTTTGCTTAAAAGCGCTCATACCGCGAGTGCTGGCCAACATGGGCCAATCGCTTTGGCATGTCCACCTTTGCGCGATGGGCACACCGTCTTTTCGCTCGGCCCGATAAGGAGTATTACATATATCTGTATGCATTACTTTTGCAGGTATAGCGCCGAGGCAGCATTATTTACGCCTGCATACGGGCTCTGCGCCGCAGACGTCAGCAACCGGTATCGAGGTACGAGGTATGGCATTCCTTTTTTATTAGAAGTCGTCCACAGCACGCGTAGCATGCGGACTTCGGGCCGACATACTTTTGACTTATCATCCTGCACCCTTGAAGAGCGGAGTAGCTTGCCCTTCAAAACGGCAGTTCTCATCTCTTGGTGTTTATTCTGGAAGAGCGACCGCCCTCCTCGAAAATATTTGCAGCCAGTGAAGGAACCTCGTCTCCGTCCACCAACCCTTCATATACACGGATCGCTCTTGCACACCATGGCGCCGCAAACCCGGTCGTCTGCACCGGGCCATAATGTCCCTGCCACAGCACCTTCCGCCCATACCAAACCCACTGCGACCGCAATAGGCAGGCGTGGCCAGTCGCGGAAGAAGCCAGTTCGCCCACCGCCACCCACCCCCGTTAGCAGCCCTGTCAAGAAACGCGCAAGTCCGTTGTCCTTTCGGCAAAGCAAGATTCATGTGTTGATTCGTTATTCTCAGAGCCGGGAAGGCCGTCAGCACAGCGCAAAAGCCGCCGCATGCGGGGATTATCTGCTGAGTTCCCAGAGGGAGTTTTTACCTCGTCGAAGAAACCGCAGGTTAGCGAACTTAGCTTCTATATTGTTGCTCTATCGTCACCAAGGCAGTGCATTGACAGGCTGAGGTCAGCAAAAACAGTCTGCGGCACCCCAGCAGGAAGCCACTCTTCCTCCAAAAACCCTAAAGCTAGCGCCCAAGTCGAACCACAAGCTTCATTTACAGCACAATGAACTAAAGGCTCCTGCAAGCGCGCCGCAAGACCCTGAGCGACGGAATAATCGCCATTCGAACGACACCGCCGAGGCATCGACCGGAACCAAACAGAAGGAACCTTACGGGTCCGCCTTGAGGCACACACTGGGAATAATTCCAATCGAAATCTGGTTGCAGGGTATCGAAGCAACTTTGCCATTAGAAAGCACCATATCACGATCAGAAGATACCATAACAGGTTATTCGATAAGATACGAGGAGCTAGACTGTCGCGAAATTCTCAAGCGGGGTGCGGACGGCGTATGCTTGATTATGGACTCGGATGACGATGATTTTTCCGACGACGAGACGGAGACGGAACATCGCCTGATCCAGGAGAGCAAGATACTTTTGCAAGACTTGATGCAGATGCGGAGGGAAGGTCAACCTGACGCTCGATTTCACCCTAAAGCTGTCAAGTCTCTGCTGGATCGATTGCACGGCGAAAACAAGCGCGGTATCATCCAAGAATTGCACCCAGTTGTATGTCCGTCGGCAGGAGTTCTCAGAGACATCAGCTTCAAGGACAAAATGCTACGAGAGAGATATGACCTTGTCGTCAATCAGTGGAGCGAGCCTTGGAGCAACTACCCGTCACTTCTGCCTGAATTTTGTGTGCCACTACCCGACTATTGTGTAGGCTTCTCTTGGAAGGCCTTTTCAAAGGATCAGCACGACAAGCTCAACGTCATTGCCGATAATCGGACATCTTTCAAGCCGACAACTCGAATGCACTTTCCGTTTCTTACTTGCGAGGTAACGTCAGCATTTGGGTCTTTGAGCGATACCGAGAACCAGAATGGCTATAGCATGCTGATCGCTGTCCGCTCCATGGTTAAGTTGTTTCGAGATGCGAGAGCTGAAAATACCTGCAGCGGTCACATTATGGCGCTTTCAATGTCCTACAACCACGAAATGGCATACATTTATGCCTACTATCCCATTGTAGACGGAGAAAGAACCGTAATCTACCGACGCAAGGTGTATAAGTCTTTGCTCAAAGAAATGGAAGACACGACTCAATTGTATGATTTTTTTAGAAAGTTGTATGAAAGATGGGCACCCCACCTTCTCAGTCGTCTCCGCGAAGCAATCGACGCGATAGACATTAACACTGCGTCACCAGGTACATCAGATAGCTCGAGTTAATTGGGCTGATTGCGCGAGCATGGTTCTCTGATGGGGAGAGATCTAATAGCTACGAACATGGATAATGACAATAGGGGTAATGCTGGTGGCAATAAAAGCAGGCATGCTACGGCAGAGCAACATGTCGAGACGTGAAGCCTGAAGAGAGCGATGACGTAGTCCTCTATTATGCGCAGTGTCTCTTTTACCGTCTTGTATTCTGAAAACAGCGGATGTTATTTCCATTCGTATTCTTAACACTACTGCATTGGCCTGTGGGTTCATCTACCAGCGGAGGTTTGTCCAAGTTAGAGCTACTTACAGCCAAGTAGAAAGATCTACGACAGCTCCTCATCAGAGCCTCATTCTGTTTGGCGAGCGCATAGTTCCGCTCGGCGATAATACCCAGCAGGCTTATAATATCATCAAGCATGCTCCCCTCGTAGCTAGGCTATGATTAGTGCGCAAGACTGGCGTTGGACGGCTGGCTTGCCGCGGTGAAAAGCACGATAGTCGCATATCCGTCCCCACCATCTTCGTCCGCAGACAAAGTCGAGGAAGCCAAATCGGTGTGTAAGAAAATAGTGAGTCGTGAAGTCCAGTGTGCGATCAGCTTCTCCTATGGTAATTTCTCAAGAAGTGCTGGGTCGGTGTTCATTGGGTTTCAGCGACCGCTCCTCCTGTGGCGCAGGAGCTAGGTTCGTCACGTGAGAAATTAACAAAGTTGGTTTTGTACAAACAGATAGCCGAGACAACTGGAAGCTGCTTTTTCGGTATTGATGAAGTCTGGTGTTTCTGTTATCTCCCGCGAATGACGTAGAAGACAGCTAATGAAAGCGGAGGGAATTGAAAAGAGGGCTGCTTACAATTAAGCATAAGTTCTCATGGCCAAAGGCCTCACCCTGGCAGCAGCAGAAGCCCGCGCGGGAAGGACGCTTGAAGCGCGCATGATAGCAAAGGTTACAGTTGGTGTTTATCGTAGAAAGGATGGCTACACTTTTTGATTGCCCCATAAATGTACTGGTCTCCCTGTTTTTGAATGCACGGTCTCGTAACCTGGGAAGCGTACGGTCCGACCTGTGGCTGCACCCCTGCCAGTCATGTTTAGCGCCCGATCGTCGCGACCCACCAGGCGTTTGCGGGCTATACTGTGGTGGAGCACCCTGCGTTAACAGCACCAGCGCCATTGGTGGAACACAGCTCCACTTCCTAATTATCTCGTCCGACATCACTGGTATACTTGCGAACGCAACACTATGAACCGAGCAGGTGTTACGGGAGTTGAGAGCTTGTACATTGTGGGACTACCTTTACTGCCGGACTGATCTCCGTCCGAGCCAAGTTGCTAATCCTCGGTGAGGTCTATGGGATTTTCAGAAGATGCGCCGCTCTATTTTTTCTTTCTCCCCCTATCCTAATTGGAGCCCAGTGTCTCCCGCTGTCTCTTCTTTGATGGTAAAGCACCACTTGGATTCTTTATGTCACTGTCGGCATTCGCGCGCCCAGTAAATGGCGTCCCTTGTTGCTAATCCTAGCCTGAAATATTGGAGGAGGCGGAACCTCCTCCAACGGCAACAGCTTCCGTGACGCGGTCATGCTGATGTTGAATCGGCTCGGTACAAGGCTCTTTTGCGCCGAAGTTCTATCGTCATATCGCCAGCAGAACACTGTGATCTCTTTTCTGATTTCGGTCTGCATATTGTCTTGACAGTCCGCAAAATCAGACCTGATCTGACTACCAAATTCTGAGATCACTCGGAGGTAGTCCACCACGCGAAGTAGCTTCTTCCCAGCAAATCCATGCTGCTCCTCACAGATCCTGGCTATATCAGATGGCTTGCGCTTGACCATAAAGCCTTCAAACTGTATGATTGGTAGGGTAATGTTGCAGAGTTCTGGATCTGCCTTAGTCGAGCCTGACTGAGCAGTGTTTACGAGGGAAGAGCATAGAAGAGGCTTCCAATAGCTGCTTCTTCATAAGTCTATATCCCAAGAATCGTTCAAAATCCGAGCACGTACTGAGTGCTTGATGGTTTTTCGCACCTACCTCAGCTCAGCCGGTTCCTTGCTCTCATTTCCACAATGTCGTTGCCATACAGCAACACAGTAGGTAATTGAGGAGATGAGAGCGGCGAGGACAGTGAAAGCACCGGCTAAGCGGAGTGGACATGCGGGTCACGGCCACGGTCTGATACTGGCCAGCATCCTGACGTGGAGCAAGCTATCCATTTGCAGGTCTTCGTGGCGCCTGGGAGATGCCAGCCATGCGGAATTTTCTTGCAGCCCTGCTTTGGGATAATTGGAAGCAATCCTTATTCGGTGAGGATGAATCTTTGTTTACCATTCTTGAACAACAGGTACTTGTACACACAGCCTGTAAGAAGTGCCAGCCTGCCAGAAACCTGCACTAGCTGGCAAATTGTCAAAGGACGGAACCAGTCGAGGAGACTCCCAGGATACGAAGGTGTGGTGGTCGTTATCAATGATACCCAATTCAGGATCTTAGGCTGTGCCCTCCCCACAGCTCCCAGTAGATGGCGCGGCTGGCCTAGTCCTTCTTGCACGGATGCTTTGACCCGAATCCCGCACCCGTAGAGGGACTGGAAGCCAATGCATCCCTGCAGCATGTCGTTAAGCTCCGTTCGACCTCCACAAGCTCCTCGTATTCATCCGTGTGCCACCATGCCGAAAACTGTGAAACGTGTGACTGCGAAGTCCC